CGTGAGTCAACACGCACCCCAGGGAGGAGGTGCTTTCTATGCATGTAGTCCAGGTCTGTATAGGCTACAACACCCTCGGGACCGCCGCTCTCGAGCAACATGTATCCATGAAGGCTCGCTCGCTAGAACACCGACTACAGCAGTAGCAGTAATTTTGTGGACGTATACCTACCAACATGAACATGTGGTCTGGATAGACCAGTCACATAGACAAATAACGCGTGTATCGCTTCAAGGGTATCTTTTTGTGTGGTACAGCAGTCATGCAGATATGTACAGCATCCTGGCCGCACACACACACTCAACTCTAGTATACTATCCATGACGAAGAAAAGATTGGGAATTCGATAGATGAGTATATCCATCACCGTGCCGTATCCGTGTGAAATTATACCCTCTGGGTCAACTTGTCTCACCCGTTGCGGTCTTTGATCCCCGCTGTCCAACGCCCTCGTGCCTCAGATCTTCGACCCCTTGGGCCTATCCGACGGCGCTGCCCCCGGCGACATCAAGAAGTGGCGCGAGGCCGAGATCAAGCACGGGCGTGTGGCCATGCTTGCGTCCCTCGGTGTCATCGTCGCAGAGGTGAGGAAAACCATGCACGCGTGAATGTGTTGGAGTACGATTGACACACACATTAGCTTCAGAGAGGGTGGCATGTTGTTTTGTATTCTCCAGCAATACTTAAATCCTACCGTAGACGCAACACCTGTTGTGATCGAATCCTTCGTGTTGTTCATGATTTTTCGTCCCGCCTTCATTGCATGGTGTTCGCTCTCGTCCCTGTCGTCGTTGCCCACTCCAGCAATACCACCCTTTCTTCATGGGACCCGACTACATTGGCCCCGCCGTGGACCACTTCCAGGAGATCAGCGCGCAGTTTCCTGAGGTGAGGCTGGGTGTTCGGGGGAACCACATTTGATGTGTGAGGCCATTAAAAAGTCGGATTTGACAAGTTGTACTTTGTGCGACTCGGATAAAACACTTAAATTCACTTATAGACCGACCATTGCTGGAGAAAACACACACGTGATTCCAGCAACGAATTTCCTGTCCTCCCGTTCCCAACACCGAAAACGAGTCAAAGGGTCGTATGCCATTTTGCACACTTTGATAAATAATATTTATTCCCAATGCGTTTCTCCCGCCGTACTGACGTAATTTGGTTGACCAGCCAGTTGTACGCTGCGCTAAGGCCTCGGTAGATTCACCCACTTAACAAGTGCCCTTCTTCCGCAGAACCTACTCGAGTTATTGGGGACACAACGTGGATGCTGTGCTGTCAACGATGCCACCGTTCCCTCGACACCATGTGGTCGACTAGTGCTGTTTGTTCACAATAGAACTCCCTCTCTGTGTCTCTCTGCCCGTCATTCCCGTGTCTCCAAAACCTCAGTTCTGGGCGTTCTCCCTCCTGGGCATGGCCTTCATCGAGTACAACACCATCATGACCGCCTTCGACACCCCCAGCGCCGTGACCGGCGAGGGCGGCCTGAAGGAGGACTACATCCCGGGAGACCTCGGCTTCGACCCCCTCAACCTCAAGCCCGACGACGAGGCGGCTCTGGACGTGATGAAGACCAAGGAGCTCAACAACGGCCGTTTGGCCATGATCGGCATCGCCGGCATGTTGGCGCAGGAGCTGGTGAACCCGGCCGACATCCTCGGCTAGATTGTTTTACTTTGTCGGCTGGGATTACCTGGGTGTATGAATCAAGTGTGTTCGTATACTTTTGTCAGTGTTTTATGCATCCTTCGATCCGAGAGCATGGAAGGTACATGACACTTACTGTACGGCTTTGTCACGCGATGGTAGATGCTGGCGTGGTTCGTGTTTCGTTGGTGCTCACGTTTCCGGCTTTAAGTCACTTCTGTACCGGTTTAGTGCTGAGTGTTGACAGTTGGACTTCTCGACTCTCGCGGTTTCTTTCACCACCGCTAGGAATGTCGGCGTACAAAGAAATCTGTATTGCTCTTGCCATTTGTGGTGGCGACAGGTTTTGCTCGATGGTGTTCGGATGTTTTTTTCTCTGGCCGAGCTTCGCGAGTTGGCTGTTCGTGGTTTACAATCTCTATTCGATTCTAGTATAAGTGTCCGAGACGGACTGCTACCTACACTCAAAGACAGCTTTCTAGTCGAGATTGTGAAGGTCGAGCACGGGAAGTGATGAAAGATTAGATGCGTTGTGTCGTGTTCGAGACTCTCGAATATCGCGTTTGCGAGTCTGACGTGTGTGGTATCAAGAGAATGGCAGCACGTTAATGTATGCAGCCAACGTTTTTGTACATGGTTGCCTCCTCTTGGCTTGATCGTCGGGAGTACATTGTATAGGGACTCGTGAAGGTATTTGTTGTAGATGATTTGTGGGAAGTGGGGTAGTGTTATTTTTTGTCGCACCTGGCACCGATGTACCACTTTGCAGCTTGCGTGCAGTGGTGTCCGAGGTGTGTTGCATCGAGATGGTGCGCTACGCCCTGGGTGCATTTAGTTGTTTGTTTGGATGTCAGTGACAACGTCTCGACTTTGTCGTGCAGCGTGAATTGCGTTGAGGGTATGTAGTGTTTTTATGAATCGAACAATCGAATACAAACTTGACGAAAACGTCCATGTCAAACGTGACACCTTCTGGCGACAGTACCGTCGTGGTTACTGGTTGGGGGGCTAGATACCTGCCCTACGCGAATCAGCCCTTGACACCTGCTGGCGGCAGTGCGTGAAACAACGCATGGAGTATGCATCATGCATGGCATGCATCTTACCTCACCGGCCGCCATCTGTGACCGTGATGTCCCCACCGACTAACGTGAGAGGATACCGGCATACACAAAAGAAGCTGCGTCTTCACTTCGTAACCCACAAGCAGGAACTGCTGTGATGGCCATTCTTCTACTGTCTTGTCACCATGCGCAAACGTGTAAACGTGCACTGATGGCGAATGAATGTGGTTTTTCTTTCGCTAGTCGGTGGTGGGCAAACCTCTAAACAAGTATGCACGGAAAGACGCTCACGGCATTCGGCGAAGGCATCAAGGTTGACGTATTTACGGTCCCAACACGAACTGAGTATAGCCATCATCCCATTCACCTTCGTGGCTGTTGTTTCTGGCCTAGAGCAGACGACAAGCGTTCGACTTCCAAGAATGGTGCGTTTCTACTCGACCGACCGGAAGATCGGCTTCGGCACATCAGTGCATCAATGCTGGAAAAAGGCCGCCACTGTACTGAGCCTATTGTGGGTTTTGGACCTCCACGGACGAGTAGGGAAAGAAAGGTTGTCTGCCTTTTTTCCTTGGCGCGAATGTTCTCGACCATGTGTTGATTGGAAGTGCTGGGTTTTACGGGTTGCGTTGTGGAGAATAAGTATTCAATAGAGGGACAATGAAACAGGGTTATCTCCCACCCGCCGGTCAAATATCCACTCTAGAGATCTATCCCACACGGACAGTTGAAAAATTCTAGATGGAGCATATATATGCCAACAAATCGGCCGCAACAGGGTCGTCGTCAACGAACGGCATCGATCGGAAGTACCAGCACACACCCTTCCTCGCTCGTACACCTAGAAGTCATCCATGATGATAGACGAGAACTCTCTCAAGATCTCACCACCTCTCGTCGTTCCGCCTTTGAATGTGTTGCTATGCTGCATGGTTCGGGGGCGATCAAGATAATAGAGCGTTCATATTTTTTGTAGCATACCTCTACTCATCATGGATAGCTGCCACCACACCCGAAGAGACTCTGAGCAGGCATTGGGGATATTGCTACTACTACTGGCTGTGTAGATGGGAGCTTGTGAGGGATGGGGGAGGGAGGTTGCAATGTATAGCAGCTGGGATGCTTCGAGCCAGCAAGAACCAACCGTGAACAGGAGTTATAGTTGTACGTCACAAGCATCGCGTCGATCGCCGTGCGTGGCGTAAAACTTGTCGTGAATGAATCAGACCTGCTGCGCTCACCTTCCGGCCTCCCGTCCCTCATCCTCACATTGAACATTAGCTACTTGTGCTCAGCATCTCTTCGGGTGTGTCTGGTGGTACACAATCTGTGAGGAGAACGGTACGGTTGTTGTTGTTGTTGTTGTTGTCTTCACTAAAAACAAACCTCTCCGGTCTCCGCTCTGTACCTTTTCTAATGTCCGTAATACTGGTCCTACCCTAAAAGGGGGTACACCTTTCTAGAAATAATATAAACGAAAATGGAGCCCAGCAAGGCCCTCCAGGCCGTGATTTGTTTTTTCCCGAACGAAAAAGAAAATTTACCGGGATAGAGACGATCGACCCCTGGTCAAAAAGGATGAACACGGAGATTGGATATTTTCCGCACTACCCGAAACATGTCCTTTGGCTCGTTTTCGTAGTACGTCCAAACATTGGGTCGTCAACGCACTTCCATGAGCATCCATCCATGTCGAACCCAATTATTTGAGTTTCCGGTTGGGCAACGTACTGTACTGGAAGAAAGGCTGGCTGGCGCCTTTTGCCTGCACTACATTAGGCCAGGCGACAGTGCATGTAGTGGTTGCCGATGAGAGGATGGCAATGCTTCACACACTTCCCTGGCCGTCTAAATATACACCAACCTTGAATCTTTCGCCGAACTCTGCGCCCTCTTTCCGCACTTCATCATGATGAGAGGTGCGGCTTCCTCCATGCGTGAATAGGAAGATGGCCATCGCGCCCGGGAATCGTACTTCCGTGTTAGTTGTGGGTTCATTATGCGTAAGTCATAATGAACTTGTTTCTGGGTGTCAGGTATGTTGCCGGTGCGCGATGCCGGTGTTCTCCGAACCACATGGGCCGTGGTGTTACGGGTCGGATGGCGTCGGTGAGGGCAGATGCATGCTTTCATCGTTTTACGAGTCCGAAGACCATCACCATGCGTGCATCGTTGAACGAGTGCGTACGCTAGACCATCACAGTGTCAAGGGCTGTTGTAGTTGCCCGCGGGGGGCAGCATGCTGCCCTCCGCCATCAAGCACCCAAGCACTGCTGTCACCAGGTGTCACCTAGGACGGGGATGTTTTCGTTCATTTTTTCATCACCAACAACACGACATCAATAAAAAGTCATCACTTGGATTGAACATCCCTCTGATGATACTCATACACACAACAAAATTGAACCAAGAGCGCACGCGTCGCACAACAACTCGACGCCGCACACCTTCGACGCCACTGCACGCAAGCTACAAGGCGGAGCATCCGTGTCAGGTACAACAAACCAAAGATCGAACCGAGAGGAGGCAAGCCTGTACGAAAGCTTGGCTATATACATGCACGTGCTTTACACTCAATTTTGACCACAAACGTCAGACTCGCGAACACGACGTTCCGGCGCGTATCACGGCTTGCCACCACTTTTCAATCTTACCAGCTTGAGCTTTCTACTTTCGACAGCACACCAACATCGTCAAGAGATTTTCAACAAAAAGCCAAGAGCCAAAAGGCGAAAAGGTAGAACACAGACAATTTGTTCGTGAGACTCAGCGGGACTGGGCTCGGGTAAACAACATCAAGCAAAATCTCTCGCCATTGGCCATGACCAGAGTGACACAGTTTCTTCCCTCAGAGTGACACAGTTTCTTCCCTCCGCCGACATCTCCATCGGTGGTATGCATAGAAGCACGTAACCAATCGAAGGCCAATCGACACTCACCAATCCTACGGTACAAAACCAAATTACAGTCGAAAAAGTAAGCATCAAGGAACTTCCGTATCACATCAGCATCTAAGATCGCGAGACAAAGCCGTAACAATACGGTAGGTAGCATCTCCCAATTACACTTCATCCTCTCGGACCAGACGCATGCATAAAACAATGACAATCACACGCACATACTGACAGAAGCACACCGAAACACTTCATCCATCACACCAATACATCAACGAAAAATATATAAACGTCCCAACATATTCCCCAACCGACGAATTGAACTTTTTAGCCGAGGATGTCGGCCGGATTGACCAGCTCCTGCGCCAACATGCCGGCGATGCCGATCATGGCCAAACGGCCGTTGTTGAGCTCCTTGGTCTTCATCACGTCCAGAGCCGCCTCGTCGTCGGGCTTGAGGTTGAGGGGGTCGAAGCCGAGGTCTCCCGGGATGTAGTCCTCCTTCAGGCCGCCCTCGCCGGTGACAGCGCTGGGGGTGTCGAAGGCGGTCATGATGGTGTTGTACTCGATGAAGGCCATGCCCAGGAGGGAGAACGCCCAGAACTGAGGTTTTGGAGGCACGGGAATGACAGGCAGAGAGACACAGAGAGGGAATGGTTGTGTGAACAAACAGCACTACATAGTCGACCACATGGTGTCGAGGGAACGGTGGCATCGTTGACAGTACAGCATCCCCGTCGTGGCTGGCGGAACACCACTCGAGTAGGTTCTGCGGAAGAAGAGCACTTGTTGAGTGGGTCAATCTACCGAGGCCTGAGCGCAGCGTACAACTGGCTGGTCAACCAACGTACATCAGCACGGCGGTAAAACGCAATAGGAGTAAGTACGTTGTAAATATTTTTCCAAGTGTGCAGATGGTGCCTTACTGTGGTGGGAGTGGATCTTACCACCCTCCGACTCGTTTTCGGTGTTGAAAGGGGAGCACAGGAAATTCGTTGCTGGAATCACGTTTTCGATTGCCTCACACATCATTCAAGAAACGCGTGTGTTTCCCCGAACACCCGGTCTCACCTCAGGGAACTGCGCGCTGATCTCCTGGAAGTGGTCCACGGCGGGGCCAATGTAGTCTGGGCCCATGAAGAAAGGGTGGTATTGCTGGAGTGGGCAACGGCGACAGGGAAGAGGGCGAGCACAACCCGATGCGGTGGGAAGAAATGCGTATGAGCAACACAATATATTTTGATTGGATTCGCATGAGTCTACAGCAGGATGGTACAGGAGTATCGTTTGGAGAATACAAAACAACATGCCACCCTTTCCGAAGGCATGTGTCCACCGTATGCCAACATGTTCACGCGCGCATCTTTTGCCTCACCTCTGCGACGATGACACCAAGGGACGCAAGCATGGCCACGCGCCCGTGCTTGATCTCGGCCTCGCGCCACTTCTTGATGTCCCCGGGGGCGGCGCCGTCGGACAGGCCCAGGGGGTCGAAGATCTGAAGAACGAGGGCGTTGGACAGCAGTGATCAAAGGCCGCAACAGGTGAGACAATTTGACACAGAGGGTAAAGCCTCACATTGATGACACCGTGAAAAATTCATGTATACACCAAATCTCTCCGTCTTGGATAGCGACCAAAATGGATGGTTAGATACAAGTAGGTGGATCAACGAGGAATGGACTACGTGTTGTTGGATCCGCTGAAACAGGTGCATGTATGCAAGCATACCGTGTGTGGATTCAATAACCACCGCACTACTGCTGTAGAACGCGATGTATCCACAAGGCATCCACGTCATCATACCTGTCGATGTCAGCAATACTTGCCAATACTGCTGTACCTCACGCGTTCATGTCGAGCAAGTACACACCCACAAACTGTTGTTAGGTTCATAAATGACACCCTTTGGACACGGATAAAAAGTAGCGAGAGACAACGGCTCTCAGGGTGTGCATGGTCTTGGGCAATGCATAGAAAGCACCTCCTCCCTGGGGTGCGTGTCGACTCACGCGATCACACACACGTCATCACCTTTCCGTCAGAGAAGGGAGCTCCGGGCAGAGTCGCGACGTAGTCCGAACCGGCGCTCATCTTGAGGCTCGAGGAAGAAGGAGCGGGGGCAACAGATCGCACCGCCATCGGTGCGACGAAGGCAGTCGAGGAGGCGATGAGGGTGGCGGCAGTGCCGATGAACATCTGGGAGGCGACCATCTTTGCTCGGTAGGTGGGGTGTGTGTTGAGAGATTGGTTGATGAAGGTGGGATGAGGGTGTGTTGTGGTTGTGGACGGATGGGGGAGAGGCGTGGGGGTGGGTAACGATGCGGCGAGATTATGTGCCATGTGTGAGCCAGAACATGTGTGACGCGCAAAGTTCTCGAAGCACGTATGTATGTGACATCGTGACAGGACATGTGTCAGGACACCCACATCATGAGTCGACCACGTCGTCAGTCACTGAAACGCGATGGCAATTCACAGCCAGCAGAGCGATCGAGCGCGCATGTGATTGAGCGACAGAAACTAAAGCTGAGTCTCCTCGTCATTACCTACCTATTGCTGTGTACCAGTCATTGCTGTACATCGGTAGGCTCGCCTATTCAGCAGTACGTTTCAGCAGAGCGGTCCCATTCGGGGCGGGCTGTTTTCCTCTGCGGGGTACATATTTCAAATTCGAACCCTCGAAGACGATTGGCTGAGCACGCGGTGGCATCATGACGTGTTTGCGTGTTTGCAGTGTTTGCAGTCTTTCTGTGTGTTTTTTTATTATTCCTTAAGTCTTGTCGTGGCCAAACTGCCAACTGCAACACGCACGACGCACGACGAACGAACAGAGAGTTCGTGACGTTGTTGTTGTGCGTGACGTACTTGACAAAACAAAAAGAACTACTCAGCCAATCATCTTCGAGGGTTCAAATTTGAAATATATACCAGAGGAAAACAGCCCGCCCCAAACGGGACCGCGCTGCTGAAACGTACCGCTGTAGGCTAGCCGACCAATATACGATGTGACAGGCAGGTGGGTAGTGACGAGGAGACTCAGCTTTACTTTCTGTAGCTCAAGCACACACTCAACCGCTCTGCTGGCTGTAAGTTGAGTTGTCATCATCGCGTTTGAGTGACTGACGTGGTTGACACATGACGATGTGTGGATGGACACATACGTGCTTGGAGGCGCGTCACAAGTCTCTTCTTGCTCATCACTCATCACACCACAATCTCGCCGCATCGTTGCCCCCCCACTTCTCTCCCCCATCCGCCCACAACCCACTACACACCCTCATCCCACCTTCATCAACCAATCTCCAGCACACACCCCATTTACTAAGCAAGATGGTCGCCTCCCAGATGTTCATCGGCGCTGCTGCCACCCTCATCGCCTCCTCGACTGCCTTCGTCGCACCGATGGCCGTGCCATCTGTTGCCACTACTACTTCCTCCGCGAGCCTCAAGATGAGCGCCGGTTCGGACTACGTCGCAACTTTGCCCGGAGCTCCCTTCTCTGACGGAAAGGTGAGGACGCGTGTGTGATCGCGTGAGTCGACACGCACCCCAGGGAGGAGGTGCTTTCTATGCATTGCCCAAGACCATGCATACCCTGAGAGCCGTTGTGTCTCGCCGCTTTTTATCCGTGTCCAAAGGGTGTCATTTATGAACGCGGCATTAGTTGTGGGATGTGTATTTGGTCCGACATGAACGCGTGAGGTACAGCAGAATTGGCAAGTATTGCTGACATCAACAGGTATGATGACGTGATGCCTTGTGGATACATCGCGTTCTACAGCAGCAAGTACTTCGGTGGTTTATGAATCCACGCACCGTATGCTTGCGTAAATGTCCTGTTTCAGCGGATCCAACAACGCATACTAATTCTTCGTCGATCCACCTATCCAGCCATCCATTTTGGTCGCGCCTCTATCCAAGGTATCCTATCCACGAAGAAGAGATTGGGAATGGGCAGATGAACTTTTCACGGTGTCATTGCTATGTGAGGTTTTACCCTCTGGGTCAAGTTGTCTCGCCTGTTGCGGCCTTTGATCACCGCTGTCCCAACGCTCTCGTGCCTCAGATCTTCGACCCTCTGGGCCTATCCGACGGCGCTGCCCCCGGGGACATCAAGAAGTGGCGCGAGGCCGAGATCAAGCACGGGCGTGTGGCCATGCTTGCGTCCCTTGGTGTCATCGTCGCAGAGGTGAGGAAAACCATGCATGATGGCATACGATGGACACATGCCTTCAGAAAGGGTGGCACGTTGTTTTGTTTTCTCAGCGATACTACTACCCTGCTGTAGACACAAGACCACAATCAAGTCTTCCGTGTTGCTGATTATTTTTGTTCCGCCGTATCGCGTTGTGCTCGCTCTCGTCCCTATCGTCTCTGCCCACTCTATGAATAGCAATACCACCCATTCTTCATGGGCCCCGACTACATTGGCCCCGCCGTGGACCACTTCCAGGAGATCAGCGCCCAATTCCCTGAGGTGAGACTGGCGCATTTTGTTGCATACATGATGTGTGAGGCAAATGAAAAGTCCGGTTTGATCATATAATATAGCAAGTGTTGTTATTTCGGCGACTCGGGTAAAACACGCATCTTTTGTAGACCGACCATTGCTGGAGAAGTTGTACACACATGATTCCAGCAACCAGTTTCCTGTCCCTCCCTCCAACACCGAACCCGAGTCCTAAATTTCGGGGCGGCATGACCTCACCAGATCAAGACACCATCTGCACACTTGAAACAATAGGCTATATATAGTCTATGGACATGTTCCCAGTGGTGTGGTGTCGCCGTGCTGATGTACGTTGGTTGACCAGTCAGATGTAGGTTGCGCTAAGGCTTCCGCAGGTTGTCCAACTCATCAAGTACCCTTTTGCGCAGTACCTACTCGAGTGTTGTTTCTCGTGGCACAAGAAGTATGCTGTACTGTCAACGATGCCACCCTTCCCTCGGCACCATGTGGATCGACGAGTGCTGTTTGTTCACACAACCATTCCCTCTCTGCGTTTCTCTGCCTGTCATTCCCGTGCCTCCAAAACCTCAGTTCTGGGCGTTCTCCCTCCTGGGCATGGCCTTCGTCGAGTACAACACCATCATGACGGCCTTCGACACCCCCAGCGCTGTCACCGGCGAGGGCGGCCTGAAGGAGGACTACATCCCGGGAGACCTCGGCTTCGACCCCCTCAACCTCAAGCCCGACGACGAGGCGGCTCTGGACGTGATGAAGACCAAGGAGCTCAACAACGGCCGTTTGGCCATGATCGGTATCGCCGGCATGTTGGCACAGGAGCTGGTGAACCCGGCCGACATCCTCGGCTAGATTGTTTTACTTTGTCGGTTGGGGAATATTTTGGGATACACGTTTATATATTTTTCGTTAATGTATTGGTGTGAATGGACCACGTGTGGTCGTGCGCTTCTGTCCGTGTTTTATGCTTGCGGTCTGAGAGGATGAATTGTAGTTGGGAGATGCTACCTACCGTATTGTTACGGCTTTGTCTCGCGATCGTAGATGCTGATGTGATACGGAAGTTCCTTGATGCTTACGTTTTCAACTGTAATTTGCTTTTGTCCGGAAGGATTGGTGAGTGTCGGCGGAGGGAAGAATCTGTGTCGCTCTTGCCATGATGGTGAGAAAGATTTTTTGATGTTGTTCAGCCGAGGCTATTGCCGCTCAGGCTCACGAACAATTTTGTCTCTGTTTTTCCTTTAGGTGATGTTCGCCATTGTGCTGTTTCCGTTGTTATATGTCTTCACTGTCCTGGTGTTGTCTAAACTTGAACGGTCAAACTTGAAAGCAATAAATGAGTAGTTTTAGCATGGAGTGATACGCCCCGGAATGATGTGTTTGCGAGTCTGACGTGTGTGGTGAAAAGAGTGTGTACAAGTACGTTCATGTGTGTAGCCAAAGCTTTCGTACAGGCTTCCCTTCTCGCGGTGGGATCCTTGGTTTGTTGCACTTGACACGGATGCGTCACCTTGAAGCTTGCGTGCAGTGGCGTCCAAGGTGTGCCTCGTCGAGTTGTTGTGCGACGCGTGCGCCCTTGGTTAAATTTTGTTGTGTGTTTGAGTATCATCAGAGGGATGTTCCATCCAGGTGATGACCTCGACAATTGTTCCGTCGTTGATGTCTTGTTGTTTATCAATCAAAAATGTGACACCTGCTGGTGACAACAGTACTTGCGTACTTGATGGCGGAGGGCAATATACTGCCCCCCACTGGCAACTACAACAGCCCTTGACACTGTGATGGTCGAACGTACGCACTCGTTCAACGATGCACGCATGGTGATGGTCTACGGACTCGTAAAACGATTCACGCATGCATCTGCCTTCACCGACCGCCATCTGACCCGTAATACCACGGCCCACGTGGTTCGGAGGACACCGGCATCGCGTACCCGCAACATACCTGACACTCAGAAACAAGGTTCATACATATGTGGCACACTCGTGTATATGTGAACCCACAACCAACAACGTGGAGTAGAATTCCAGCATGTGATGGCAATCTTCTTATTCACGTATGGAGGAAGGCTCATCTCTCATCATGATGAAGTGCGGAAAGTGGGCACAGAGTTCGGCGAAGGCTTGAAAGTTGATATCTAGACGGTCGAGATATTGTGTGAAGTATAGCTATCCTCCCATCGACAACCACTGTCTGTCGCCTGGCCGATGTAGTGCAGGCAAAAGACGCCAGCCTTCTACAGCACGTTGCCTAACCGAAAATCTGTTTGGGTTCGACATCGATGGTGATGGGATCGTTGACGACGCTATTTTTGGACGTAGTAAGAAACCGAGCCAAAACGCGTGTTGGCTTGTTTTCTCATTGCAGACATTTTCAATCAGCGTACGTACATAGTATTCAATCATCGATGAGAGTACAGGATTCGGTTAGCGGCCTCGATTCGCAATATTCAATTGAGGTAAATACGGGATTTGATGAGATGAAGAACGCGCCAGCGTAAAACAGTGCTCACGTGTTCGTACCCTCGAGTGGATGCCACCACACACCCCCGAGGAGATGCTGAGCAGTCATTTGCAGCAACGTTTCAACCAATCAATGTGATTTTATGAGGGATAAGGGAAGGGAGGCCAGAAGGTAAGCATAGACTGGCCGATTCATTCACGACAAGTTTTACGCCACGGCGATCGACGCGATGCGTCTGACGTAGAATTTCTCGTCACGGTTGGTTCTTGTTGGCTGGAATCATCCCAGCTGCCACACCTTCCAACCTCCCTCCCCCCATCCCTCACAAGCTCCCATCTACAATAATACAGTAGAAAAAACCGTGTACCGCACATACCGTGTACCGCACATACATACCCACAAACCACCAACAACGCTCGCTCGTTGATGGGCACCGCCTCCAGAATAGGATACCGGCCCCTTTCGACAGAGGGTCGGATTCGCTTGACGCGCGAGTTCGTTCGGTGTGGTGCTGATTAGTAAAAAAAGCACACACAGAGAGAGAGACACACAGCGAGAGAGGCACAGAGAGAGAGAAAAACGGGCACGACCTGCCTCGTGCACCATGCTTCCGAGGCACAGGACACAGACAGCGGTTTATTGGTTTCGCCGCGATCTACGGCGGATGCTGTCGGAGATTGGTGTCGTGTTGATTTCCAAGTGTACACTGAAATGGTCATAATCCACCCAGGTACCCGTTTCTGGTTACTTCTCTGCAAACAAGGGGGAACGATGAGAGGTGGTGAGATCTTGAGACAGAGAGGTATGTATCGTCTGTAAGTGTACGAGCAAGGTAGGGTGTGCTGGCGCTTCCGATCGATGCCGTTCGTTGCCGACTACTCTTCTTGCTGCCGATTTGCTGGCATGCGCTCGAAGTTTTCAGATCTCTGGAATGGAGTGGACAACTGGCCAGTGGGGGAAAGCCTATTATATTACAATGTATCCAATGAATACTCTACGACGAGGCTCCCCACCAAATCCAACACTTTCGTGCAACACGTCATTTAACATTCGCACCAAGGAAAAGAGGAACACATGATTTTTCTCGTTCGTCATGGTCCAAAACCCAAAACTAGTGTCTCCACTCACTGTGGTTGTAGCGTTGGTGCCGAATCCGAGCTTCCGGTCGGTCGGGTAGTAACAACAACGCGTTGTGAGTCTGGCGCTTTTTGTTTGCACTAGGCCAAACACAACAGCCACCTGCGTGGATGAGATGATGATGTGGCTATGCTCAGTATACCGAACAGTCGGAGAGTTGGCACCGGTCGGAGAGACGGCGGGGTGCGATACAAAACCCGAGAAAACAACATTTAATTCGATTTACGCACCGGGGTCGGTGATATCACACCGGGTGCGATCTCTCCGACCCCCAAATCCAAGATTGAGCTCCTTTTCAGCTGCCGGAGTGAGGTATATGTGCGTACCTTTTACCCGTGGGGACGGTGTCAGCGGACCGCCACTCCTTTGCGTACGATTGGATGGTCGCGGTTCACGCGGGATGCCAGTTGTAGATTTTTTAATTGGTATGGAAGTTGCCAACCGTACATCAACCAAACACACGACGTACAAGCCGCACCCTACCCCACCTTACACACCCGAAACTAAAACTAATGTACTGCTGCGTACGTACTGGTATCCGTAGAAGAAGACCGAAACGAAAGCGGGAAACAATTGATACCGTGTGTACTGGCACCACCTCAGATGGAAACGACATTTATTTTTTGTTGTCACGCCATAGCCACACTCGCATCAAACACAAGACCACTCGCTGCATGGAAAGCTGTTACGTACCAGCCTACGTTGCCGTTACCGGTGTGCTCCAACCACCAACAACGGCACCTACACGTACGTGTGGTTCTATATTGTACTGATCAATAGCCAGCATGATCAACTATTGTAATAGCGTGTGAAGAAGACCGTGTGTGTGGGTGCCTACACTGGTATCAATACTATCGTACCGGTCGGGGAAATGGCACCGGGGTGCGTGGGTGCATACAAGACCTGTGTGTATTTCATCGGGGATGGCACCGGTCGGAGATATCGCACCGGGGTGCCTTGGAAAAATTAAAAGAAACGATTTAATTGCATTTATTTCCGCACGGGGGTCGGAGAGATGGAACCGGTGGGAGACATGGCATGCGCGATAAAAAACCCGAGGAAAAACCATTTAAAAAAACGATCGCACCCGGTACCGACTCTCCGACTACGGTATGTCGTGGCCGTATTCAAACAGCTTTGAGCCTTTCGCCGAAGACTGTGGGTACCCGTACTTTACCATTAGAGGTATGTCCACCACCGACAAAAGAAAGAAGTACCACACTTACTTCTCGCTGCTGGTGTGCATGTTCTGTGCGTCTACTGCGCATAGGTATAGAATGACCATCACTGCTATTAATTCCTGTTTGTGTGGGCTACGTAGAAGAAAGAGACGCGGTTTCTTTTGTGTATGCCGGCATGGCATGCCGGTATCCTCACACTGTAGTTGGTAGTCAGTGGGGACGTCACGGTCACAGATGGCGGTCGGTGAGGGCAGATGTATGCATACATGCCCCATTCTCCGGACTGTCGCCAGCTGGTGTCAAGGGCTGGTTGCCCGTAGGGGAGGGTATCGTCCCCCAACCATCAAGCACGCAAGTACTGTCGCCAGTAGGTGTTACGTGAGATACAGACGTGCTCGTTATGTTTGTATTCAGTTCACAACAACACTCACTACCCTCGACGAGGGCAACACACAGAGAGAGGTCATCATCTGGACGGAACAACTCCCAAACAACGTGATTCACGGTGCATGACAAGGTCGAGACGTTGGCTCTGATATTCAAACAAAAAACACACGTTAACGACGGCCAAGAGCGTCGAATAACAAAACGACCTGACACACCCTTAACGCCTCTGCACGTAACCTACGAAGTTTGGCATCAGTGTCAGGTGCGACAAACCAGTGACATCGGCCCCACTTGCTACAAATCATGCACGACAAACACTTCACGAGCCCCATATACCAAAGATCAAACAACGAGGGGGCACACCTGTACCGAAGCATTGCTACATACATGGACTTGCAAGATCAGTCGACTTGCGGAAGCTGTCGTCATTGAAGCAGTCCGTTTCCCACACTAGGATCGTGAAGACATATTACAATACAAACATCCAACTCGCGAAGATAGCCTTCCGTAAAATGACAGTCAAAATTGTGAGTGAGCCTGAGAGGAACTGGCCCCGGCTAAACAACGTCAAGCAAAAATTTTCGCTCCTACATACCCATGCCAAGAGCGACACAGATTCCTCTGTATACGCCGACATCACCGTCGGTGGTAAAAGGAAAAGCCGAAAGATTAAAACACAAGTCGAATTGTCGGCACTCAGCACAACTACTACGGTGCAGAAGTAAGTTACAGCCGGAACCTCAAGCATTAACGAAACGCGCTTCACACCAGCATCTACCATCGCGGGACAAGACCGTACGATGCGGTGTGCACCTCCCAACTACCTTCCATGCTCTCGGACCAGACCGATGCATAAACACTTGACAAAAGAACAAGAACACACTTGATTCATACACGCAGATAATCCCAACCGACAAAGTAAAACAATCTAGCCGAGGATGTCGGCCGGGTTCACCAGCTCCTGTGCCAACATGCCGGCGATGCCGATCATGGCCAAACGGCCGTTGTTGAGCTCCTTGGTCTTCATCGCGTCCAGAGCCGCCTCGTCGTCGGGCTTGAGGTTGAGGGGGTCGAAGCCGAGGTCTCCCGGGATGTAGTCCTCCTTCAGGCCGCCCTCGCCGGTGACAGCGCTGGGGGTGTCGAAGGCGGTCATGATGGTGTTGTACTCGATGAAGGCCATGCCCAGGAGGGAGAACGCCCAGAACTGAGGTTTTGGAGGCACGGGAATGACGGGCAGAGAAACACAGAGAGGGAATGGTTGTGTGAACAAACAGCACTCGTCGACCACATGGTGTCGAGGGAACGGTGGCATCGTTGACAGCACAGCATCCACGTGTGTCACGAGGAGCAACACTCGAGTACGTGCACGGGAGTACTCTTGTGCTACTTTGGACAAGCTGCAGAGGCCTTGGCGGTAATGTACAACTGGCTGGTCAACCAACGTACATCAGCACGGCGACACCACACTACTGGGAACATGTCCATAGACTATATATAGCCTATTGTTTCAAGTGTGCAGATGGTGTCTTGATCTGGTGAGGTCATGCCGCCCCGAAATTTAGGACTCGGGTTCGGTGGAGGGAGGGACAGGAAATTCGTTGCTGGAATCATGTGTGTACAACTTCTCCAGCAATGGTCGGTCTACAAAAGATTGCGTCTTTTACCCGAGTCGCCGTATATGATCAAACCGGACTTTTCATTTGCCTCACACATCATGTATGCAACGAAATGCGCCAGTCTCACCTCAGGGAATTGCGCGCTGATCTCCTGGAAGTGGTCCACGGCGGGGCCAATGTAGTCGGGGCCCATGAAGAACGGGTGGTATTGCTGGAGTGGGCAGAGACGATAGGGACGAGAGTGCGCACAACGCGATACGGCGGGACAAAAATAATCAGCAACGCGGAAGACTTGATTGTGGTCTTGTGTCTACAGCAGGGTAGTAGTATCGCTGAGAAAACAAAACAACGTGCCACCCTTTCCGAAGACATGTGTCCATCGTGTGCCATCATGCATGGTTTGCCTCACCTCTGCGACGATGACACCAAGGGACGCAAGCATGGCCACACGCCCGTGCTTGATCTCGGCCTCGCGCCACTTCTTGATGTCCCCGGGGGCAGCGCCGTCGGATAGGCCCAGGGGGTCGAAGACCTGAGGCACGAGAGCGTTGGGACAGCAGTGGTGATCAAAGCCCGCAACAGGTGAGCCAATTTGGCCCAGAAGGTAAGACCTCAAACATAAAGATACAGCAGTAACGGCATCGCGATCGAATTGATCTGTCTATTCATGTCATCATGCAGTCTATAATACCAGCGTGTCCATGTTGGTTCTTGTATAGTCTACACAGATACGTCCACAAAATAGTCTATTGCTATGCATATTCGGTATTCGGTATTCTACAATAGAACGAGCGAGCCTTCGGATACGGCAGTACTCTGTATATGGATACACGTTGCGGAGAGACGGGTGGTCCCGAGGGTACTGCTGTGGTAGCCTAGACTGTGTACTTATGCATACAAAGCACAACCTTGGGTGTTGGCTCACGCCACCACACACACCTCCTCACCTTTCCGTCAGAGAAGGGAGCTCCGGGCAGGGTCGCGACGTAGTCCGAACCAGCGCTCATCTTGAGGCTCGAGGAAGAAGGAGTAGTGGCAACAGATCGCGCAGCCATGGGTGCGACGAAGGCAGTCGAGGAGGCGATGAGGGTGGCAGCAGTGCCGATGAACATCTGGGAGGCGACCATCTTGCTTGGTAGGTGGAGTGCGTGTTGGAGATTGGGTGTTGGAAGTTGGGATGAGGCTGTGTTGTGGGTTGTGGGGGATGGGGGGAGAGGCGTGGGGTGGCGATGATGCGCGATGATGATGCGGCGAGATTAAGTAGCTGCGAACTGCGAACTGCGACACAGCACGACGAACGAACATGACGCACTTTGAAAACACGTCATGATGCTACCGCTTGCTCAGCCAATCATCTTCGCGGGTTCAAATTTGAAATAAATAACCCGCAGAGACAACAAGCCCGTCCCTTGGCCCAAAAGAGATCGTGTTGCTGAAAAGCACCCTGCAGGCGAGCCAACTAAAGCACCATGCGATAGACAGGGTAGGGAATGACGAGGAGACTCAGCCCTAACTACTGTAACTCTCATACTCACCCGGTCTGCTGGCTGTGAATTGCCGCCCTCGTTTCAGCTACTGACGTGGTCGACACATGACCGGTTGGACACATATGCACGTCACAATTCCCTTCTGGCTCATCACGCACATCTCGCCACATCGTCCCACCCCCACGGCCTCTCCCCATCCTCCCACAATCCACTTCACACCCTCATCCCCATCCCAACTTCCAACAACAACCAATCTCTCAACACACATTCCACCTACCAAGCAAGATGGTCGCCTCCCAGATGTTCCTCGGCACTGCCGCCACCCTCATCGCCTCCTCGACTGCCTTCGTCGCACCCATGGCTGTGCGATCTGCTGCCACTACTCCTTCGTCCTCGAGCCTCAAGATGAGTGCTGGATCGGACTACGTCGCCACCCTGCCCGGAGCTCCCTTCTCTGACGGAAAGGTGAGGAGGTGTTTGTGGTGGCGTGAGCCAACACGCACACCCGCGGTGGAGTGCTACGTTGTACAGCAGTACCCGCAGGACGCTGTCTCTTGTATCCGTGTTTTGAAGGATCGCTCGATCTGTCGCAATAACACACAAGTATTAGTATTTCGTGGACGTGCACGTACCAAATGAACATGTAAATTGTGTTGTATGATGAACAACCAATGACATCGACAAAGAAGGCGCGTATCACGTCAAGGATGTTGTCGTGTGTTGTCTTCATGTGGAACAACACCTGGGCGACACTCAATTAGTTGGCATTCCCCTATCCAAGGTATCACACTACACAAGGTATATCATCTCCACATAAATGGAGAGACTGTGCATCGACAAATCAATCGTTCGCGGTGCTGTATCTATACATGTGTGAGGTCTTACCTTCTGGGCCAAATTGGCTCACCTGTTGCGGGCTTTGATCACCACTGTCCCAACGCTCTCGTGCCTCAGATCTTCGACCCCCTGGGCCTATCCGACGGCGCTGCCCCCGGCGACATCAAGAAGTGGCGCGAGGCCGAGATCAAGCACGGGCGTGTGGCCATGCTTGCGTCCCTTGGTGTCATCGTCGCAGAGGTGAGGCAAAGCATACATGACGGCACACGATGGACACATGCCTTCGGAAAGGGTGGCGTGTTGTTGTAATGTTTTCCAAGGATACAAAAAAAACTGTTGTAGACAGAGATAGTCTAGTTTGGGGCGTTGCTCATGTTTTTCGTCCCGCCGCATCCCGTTGTGCTCGCTCTCGTCCTGTTGTCGTTGCCCACTCCAGCAATACCACCCGTTCTTCATGGGCCCCGACTACATTGGCCCCGCCGTGGACCACTTCCAGGAGATCAGCGCGCAGTTCCCTGAGGTGAGAACTGGGTGTTCGGGAAAACACTGTTGCTATGTAGACTACATGACGTGTGAGGCAATCGAAAAGTCCGATATATGCATATCAAGTGGTGTTGTTTCTGCGACTCGGGTTAAACACGCAATTCACTTGTAGACCAACCATTGCTGGAGAAGCTATACACACAGAGTACGTGATTCCAGCAACGAATTCCTTCCCTCCCCTTCCAACACCGAACCCGAGTCGTACATTTCGGAGCGGCAGGACCTCACCAGAGTAAGACACCACTGCACACTTTGAAATAAGATTTATGGAGTTGTTCCTAGTTTCTAGTGATGTGGTGCCGCCGTGCTGGTATCAGTTGGTTGACCAGCCTGTTGTACGAAGTCCTCGGCAGGTTGTCCGACTCATCAAGTACCTTCTTCCGCAGTATCTACTCGAGTGTTGTTCCTCGTGGCACAAGAAGTATGCTGTACTGTCAACGATGCCACCGTTCCCTCGGCACCATGTGGTCGACGAGTGCTGTTTGGTCACGAAAGAACTCCATCTCTGTGTCTCTCTGCCCGTCATTCCCGTGCCTCCAAAACCTCAGTTCTGGGCGTTCTCCCTCCTGGGCATGGCCTTCATCGAGTACAACACCATCATGACCGCCTTCGACACCCCCAGCGCTGTCACCGGCGAGGGCGGCCTGAAGGAGGATTACATCCCGGGAGACCTCGGCTTCGACCCCCTCAACCTCAAGCCCGACGACGAGGCGGCTCTGGACGCGATGAAGACCAAGGAGCTCAACAACGGCCGTTTGGCCATGATCGGCATCGCCGGCATGTTGGCGCAGGAGCTGGTGAACCCGGCCGACATCCTCGGCTAATTTGTTTGCTTTTCTAGACTTTCGTCGCTTGCATTATCTTGATGTGAAGGATCAAGTGTGCGTGTCTGATGTAAATGTGTTTTATTGCGTCCCTCTGATCCGAGAGGATGGAAGAATGTATTTGGGATGTGCTACTTGCTGTATTGTTCGCCCTTGTCTCGCAATCGCAAATGGTGGTGTGAAGCGTGTTTAGTTGATGCCTCCGTGTTCGGTTGTAACTTACTTCTGTATTGTCATGCTGAGTGTCCACGATTGGACTTGTCTTCGATTCCTTCGGCTTGTCTTCTGCCACCGCCATCTATATCGGCGTACAGAGGAATCTGTGTCGCTCTCGGGATGTGTGATGGCGAGATATGTGCTTGAAGTTGTTTAGCCGAGGCGGGTTCCGCTCAGGTTCACCCGCAATTTTGACTGTTTTTTCTTAAGACGAGCTTCGCGGGGATTGCTGTGTTGTACAATCTCTTTTACGATCATAGTGTTCTGTCAAGATTTGATAGGCCGAGCATGGGAAGTGATGAAAAGGTTAGCATGCGTTGTGTCGCATTCGAAACTCCGGAATCCCGTGTGTATTTGCGAGTCTAAAATGTTTGGTGAAATGAGTGCATGTATGTAGCCAAAGCTGTCGTTGCATACCGCTCTCGTAGTTTTGCCCTTGGTGTATGGTTCGAGGGGCCCGTGCGGTACTCAGATGTACATGGCTAGTGGCAAAAGTGGCACCACTTTGTAGGTTGCATGCGGTGGCGTCCAGGGTGTGCCCTTGGGTTAAAACGTGTTGTTTATTTTGAGTATGGGAGACACCGTCTCGAGTTCGCCATTGAACCGCGTCGTTTGGGAGTTGTTAATTCCAAATGATGACCTGCGCGTTTTGCCCTCGTTGAAGGTAGTGTTGTTATCAACGGAATACGAACTTGACGAAAACGTGCATGAAAACGTCCATGTCTCACGCAACACGTGCTGGCGACAGTACTTCATTCAGTGCATGATGATTGGGGAGCGAGATTCTCGCCCACGGGCAACCAGCCTTGACACCTGCTGTCGACAGTACGTGAAGCAATGCATTTAGGCATATACATGTGCTCTCATCGACCGCCATCTGTGACCTCATGTCCCAACTGACTACGGCGTGAGGATACCAACACGGTATGCATACTTAGCGAGAAGCTCAGTCTCTAACACGTAACCAACAAACAGGAATTGTGGTGATGGCCATTTTCCTGTCTTGCTTCATGCGTCTGTGATGCGCAGCCGCATACGGTCAGCGGTATGTTTTTTTCTTGTCGGTGGTGGGCACACCTCTCATGATGAAAGTACCGGAAGAAGCTCTAAGCCTTCGGCGAAAGGCTCGAAGATTGATTTTCGCACGGCCGAGATGATGTGAAGGATAGCCATCCTCGAGTCCACAGTCGTTGTTGGTTCCGGCGTAGAGCAGCCCAACGCGCCAGCCGTACCATGAGTGATTACCCCGCCTGAAAAGCTTGGAATGTGACGTAGTAAGTGCTGGAACAACTTTGGCGAATCTGTGGTGGGAACACTTTTATCTACTAAAATATGTGAAAACGAGGCCAAATAGATCTTGAGATGAAGCATCCCTACCAGCTTCGAACTACATTTTTCACGAGCGAAGAAGAGTGTACTGGCGCATACGACGACGCAAACTGTCGCTGACTCTTGCGGACGATTTGTAAGCATGCTCTGGAATATTTCAATAGAAGAAGGGTAGAGCAGGTTCGGAGTGGGTCAACACGTGTCAGTCTAGGTTGATGATAGGAAGACCATCGCGAGACACAATTTGACCACCGGGGACTCCACAGGAGGCCTGCATAGCTTACCAATTCAAATACCCCCGTTGCATACCTCGATTCGAGGCCCTATATACAATCCAACTGATACTTCCATTGAAAAGCCTGTATTGGATATTCCACACAGAGAGGGAAAGAAGAAAGCATTGAAAGTTGAGTGTTACGTCTATGCCGCGTCCGACGAGCAAGCAAGTTGAAAGAGTTGCATCCCTTGCGTACGGGCTCTCATCTGCTGGTAGGCTCTTACCATGACCACAACGGACGGTACGGGTTGCAGAGAGCGCACGGACGGGTAGACAACCAAAACCAACCACCGATAGAGACGGGAGGAAAATGCTCACTCGGTCAGGAACAAGTGCTCATTGAAGACATATTTGTAATCTACTCGCAACTGCTGGTTCTGGCGTGTCACTCTATACAGGGTCGATCGACTTGCTGAATAAATTGACGAGCAACGCCAGGTTCTGCCGTCGATCGCTCGGTACTCATCTTCTCCGAAATAATGTGACTTCTGACCACCGCGCCAAGGGTATTTACACAACACGTTTCCTTGTGGCAGGTCAGAACGGTCTTCGTCTATTTGGCGACGACAACAACAACAACAACAAGAGCAACGGCTAAACGACAACAACATCAGCAACATCACGCTAAACTATTACTACGCCATGATATTACAAGGGGGTACAACTTGAACATGTAATTAAAGCCGCTGAGAACAGCCTTTTAGCTTCGGGCCAGCCACTTCCCCACAGCACAGCAGGACGTGGGGCGTGTGGCAGGATGGCTGGATATTCAGCCTGCGTGGTACTGCGGCGCTGAAGCAAGGAACTCGCCGTAGGCGGCCGTGCTGGGGCGAACGAACAGTTCGACCAGCGGATTCGCGCGCTTCCGCTTCGTCGCGCCAATATCTTTGAGCAGCTCGTCAAAGTGGCGGAAGTGGAACGGAGCGATGCAGAGGCCGCCGTACACCTGTGCGGCCGGCCTGTCCTTGCGCCGCCACTCCTGCATCACGTCGATACTCGCGTTCATCTCGTCGGCGCTTGGCTGGTGCTCGAGTTGCCCGTCCGCATACCGCACGAGCCAGTGCGATACCAGTTCCGCAGACAGCACTGAGCAGAAGCTGCTGTTGAAACCGATGAAACCGACATCGGGCAGACTCGGGTTCACAGCGAAACGGTAGAGGCGGTAAAGGCCGTCCGAATCGACCAGCTTGTGCTGCGCTTCGGCGGGCAGGAACGAGAGGCCTTGTTTCCACCCGGTCGCCATCACCGCGACATCGCACGGAACCGTGCCACCGTTCGATAGGACCGCAGCGCCTTCTTCGTAGCGCTCGATCGAGCCTTGCACTGCCTTGATCGTGCCCTTGTCCAAAGCTTCGAAAAAGCCGGGGGTGGCGACGCCGATCGAGCACGAGACAATGTCCTCGATCGGTTCGTCGGGAACCATCTTGTGCTTCTTCAGGCCCAGCTGAAACGTAAGCGCAGCCTCCAGGCCACGGAAGTTCGCCCAGATCAGCGGCTTTAGGATCATCCTGAGCACACGCCCGATGGGCGAAGGCAGCCAGCCGTTGAACTGCTCCTCCTGGGCGCGCATGTATAGTAGGTGCTTGACGTTGACGCCGCCGACGAAGTACGGCAGCCGCCAGACGTTCTTGCGGTAGACGAGGGTGACCGATTTCGCGCCGCTGTTGGCGACGTTGACGGCGATGTCCAAGGCCGATTTGGAGCCACCCAGAACAACGACGCGCTTCCCCTTGATGGTCGACGGGTCGGTGTAGTCCGACGAATGGATGACCTCTCCGCCCTGCGCGGCGAACTCCTGCTCTCCCGGATGGGTCGCGACGTGCTTCTGGGAGAACTGACCTGTCGCAACGCTGACGAAATCGAAGTCTTCCCGCTTGGTGCACCCGTCTTCTTGAAGCGTGAGGGTCCAGCCGGCCCGACCGTCGGCTCTGCGCTCCATCGTCTCAACGCTCGTGTTAAGCCTGAACAGACGTGCGACGCCGTGCTTCTCGGCGTAGGAATGGAGGTAGGCGTTGACGTCTGGCGCCTTCGGCCATTCTGGCACGTTTTCGCCGTAGGTTTGGTCGGTGAAGTGGTAGAGGTCTTTCGGAGACTGCGTCTGGCAGTCCGGATAGGACCGTGACAACTCCCACACACCGCCGAAGGCAGGGCCTCGCTCGAACCCGTGGACTTCGTGCCCGCGTTCAGCGAAGGTCTTCGCGGCGGCAATTCCGCTAAAGCCTCCGCCGATCACAGCGACCCTCTTCTTCTCAACCATGATGGGATGAAAGCAAACGTTTCCCTGCGATTGTAGAGGAGTGGGCGAGCGACTAGCGGTAAGACATCCGTGTTTGCTGTCGATACTGGAGAGGTGCATATATACACTTAAGCATGTACATACCGTACTCGGCGTTTCCCTTTGCACCATCTTCTCCCCATTATTTCTTCTACGGACAAGCTTGAGTTTTACCGCCGAATGTAGAGTCCGTTTGTCAAGTTACGTCAAAGACCGAGATTTTTTCGTGTGCGAATGTTGCTGGGTTATCGCCACAGAACAAACACATTTCCCGATATTCTTCCTGGGTGGCGAGTCAGCGAATTGAGCGACCAACAGCACAGGTGCGGAAAGCCATCTCCAAGAAACCCCTCCGTGATTCAGTCAACTCCCCCCGTCCAGACGGCATGACCATGTACTCAGGCAGAAGGCGATCGCACCCAAAACTTGCGAAGGAGGCGATCGTGGTTTCTCGTGTTTAGAATCCTCGGGGCTGGCGTGTTGGTGGCGTTGTTGCGGTTTTGTGTACGAAACACACAGGGTTAGGTCTGTTGACGTCGTCATAAGAGTTGGAGGAGAGCTGACCTGCAGTGTTTCGTAGCACATACGTCGCGTCATCGATTGGGTGACGATAGTTAATCGTCCTTCAATCGAGCGCGTTCGCCGAAGTCGAGCTTGATCGAAGTCAGGGACCGGATGTTTCTTTCGGTTCCAAGTCACGACGAGTCGGTTTCGCGAGGATCTACAGTAGTTGTCGAGTACACTCGTTTTCTGGATACCCGTTTCGTCTCATCGTGCACGTATTGAGTTGAAAGCATTGGGTAGTCTCTGGTGGGTCTGACACCCGCCTTCGTGATTGGACTGTAGGTGATTTGGCTCGCGAGCGCTCCCGGTCCTAGGCCTCGTTGTCTTTCGTCGGCCAGCGGAATGTGTTGGATGATTGTTGTTGATTGTAAGTGCAGAAGCACCGCAGCAGCGGTGTGAGAAACACTGCCTCGCACGAAGGCGTCATGCCACCTAAGACGTGAAACCTTGCCCTTTTTCTCCCACTGGCTAACCAAGATCGAGTGATAGATTCCAGTGTCTGGGCCATGGCGCATATTGAGTATTGGCGTTGTCGTTGTTGTTATAATGGCACGCTTGAGTGCGAATCAGGCGAAGGGTGGTGTGACTGATGGGCAACGTATGGTGGAAAAAATCCTATCCCGTTTTCCTTTGATGTTGTCCGCTGCGACCGGACCCGCGCTTCTTTTTGCTTGGGCTTGTTATTGCACGGTGTGAGGCGGTGATCTGGAACCTGACCAAGGGTATTTTATGCATCTCCGATGTTCATTGCAGTAGACTGATAAAAAACGCGTTACGGCGACGTTGGTGAGGGGTCTGATGTGCATTGAACATCACGGTAGAGTGTTGCGACCGAGGGAGGTGCCACAGAGAGAGATAGCCGTAACTACATGCGCTTTGCAACTTTGTAGTGAAACAGTCAACATGTGCCGCAGATCGTTATTCAACAAGTGACGATCCTTAGTGGTTCATACTGCCGTCAACGTAACGGGCGCGCAACTCTTCTCCACCGCTAAAAAGGGAGATTAATTCCAACATATCACTCGGTTGCGTGTAATTGCGTTGTAGACTGGGCTTGAGCCCTGAGAACAGGAGGCCGTACGCGGGAATGAGTGATGGTGGTGGAGCCTGATATTGGCTTTCGGGAGAGCCCCATCTTCCACAACCGAGGTCATTCAGCTGGGCATGGCGTCTAACTACATTTGATTGGTAGCTTGAGGACACGGCTTGGGCCCTCGTTGCCGCAATAGTCTGTTGCCGTGGTTCACAACATTCCCAAGTAATTGTACTTGTGAATGGTCATGGGCATGCGTGGTTACTTACGAAGAGACAAAGGCAACAACTCATTGATGTAAGGTTGGCTGGAGACAAGGAGAAAGGAACGTGGGCTACAACTGAGAAAACAGGACCAGATCTCTCCTCTACTCATTCATGACGTGTATTTCACCGAAAACAAAAAAAAAAGCCCGTTGATTGGTGGTTGGAATAATGGACAGGCGCCACACCGTGTTTGGCACAGACTTGTAAACATCAACATTCAGTACTTGTATTTTCTTGGTGTTGTGTTGTCCAAACCGACGGCAAAGAAGAGCAGGAGCACAGAAACGTGCGTAGCCGGAACTGGTGTGCTTCCTTTGAAACAAGTGTCCAGCCAATCGCCTTGGTCCGTATACTACACTCACAAGTACACTGGATACACAGGATGTGATGTGGCCAGTTGGATACTGATTGGAATATGCGGCAGGTTGGGGTGGAACGGGAAGCTGGAAGCCTGGTGGTTGGACCACAATGCTACAACCCGCGGTGTGGCGAGATTGTTGACTGCACACACACGACGGCGCACAATCTTGGTGAGATTGCGGCCAGGTAGTTGGTGCGCCCGCACCCTCTACTCTACGTCTTCCATTCACCTGTCTGTGCATGCTCTTCGCCAGGACAAGACTCCACTCACCTAAAACTCTCCTCTCTCGTGCCTTCTAGACTCTACTGCTGTAGTAGTACTGTAGTAGGTGTTTGACTCGCCGTGCCGCTCGGATGTATGTGTGTTAAACGCGGGTGGGGGTGAAGGCTTGGGTGTACTTGCTGCGCAGGCGGTAGCCTGATCATGATTGATGATTGATATTGTTGAAAATATACCGAAGATTTGTTGCGGCTCATCGCAGCGCCTGTTCGTTTCATCTCAAGAGAAACTATTCGGGAACTAACCGAGTACAGTAGTCTAATCAGCAGGCTCCTTTCCCTTTTCTCACCATAGCGACTTCAACGCATCCCTTCGACTACGGTAGTACCTCGAACGGGTTGTCTTTCAGTGATTGCACGTGTATTTTCCAAGAGTATCTGCAATCGGATGTGCCAAGCAACCTTCAGTCATGTGGTACACCGCACGCATTCCCCCAATCTCCTGCCGTTGAAAGTTGGATGTGGGCGACGGTCCCTCACACGCCAAGATCTTTCAATTCCAAAACCGTGGAATCCCCCCCCCGACTCTGCTGCGTTACTGCTGCCGCTACTGCCGCAGCTGCTGTAGGGAAGCCCTGCACCCTGAGCGCCTTAGCGTTGACTTGCTGACGCGCTGACGCGGTGAATGTGCAACTGAGCAACGTGCCAACGTGCCAAGCGCCAACCCGCCGCGTGCAAAAACCCGCCGCGTTCGAACGCCGATCATGACAGTCCCTTATTATTACAAGCAGAACAACGAACAACAGCAGAGTTGTAGTTCTGTGTAACCATCTTTGCTGCTTGCCGACCACATGGGTCGGAATGCATTCCTTCAGCGCCTTCAGGAGATGGGAGCAGCAGTGATTCTGTGAATCCTCGGTGTACACTACTGCTGTACTGCTGTAGTTGCGGCGGCAAGGCAACTTTCAGGGTTCGACTGCCGTACGCTGTCTTGCCAGCCAGGTCCAGTCATCAAATGTGTGTGTGCCTAGAGTACTCTTATAGTCCCAATTGCTTGGTCTGAAAAGTAAGCGCTGGACATTTACATCTAACTACAATAAGCAGGACTCAACTTTGGTTCGACTTCATTTATTTTTTTTATATATACTCGAGTCCTCTCAGCCCAGCTTTTTTCCTTCCCCAAACATTCTTCTCCAGAAGTTCCAATTCTGCCGAGCCTCCCATGGATATGGAAAATTGGGCACACCGTGGATCGTTGAGCCACTGGGCACACCCGCCTCTTCCCATCACTCCTCCAGATCGCCTGCCCTTTCCACTCTCTCCTCTCCGTATATGCAAAATAAAATAAATAGGCCGGGGGGGGGGCTTGGCAGGTTTCCTCTTCAAAGTTCCAGGAAACGCCTGCAAATCTCAGTTATCCAAAGTCTAACTCCAGTACGAAACTGCCATCCATGCACCCCCATCACAAATTAATCGTCCGTGCCCCCCCCCTGTGTACAATGTTAGTGTCTGAGATTGTAGCCCTTATTGCGATACACTACAGATTAGGGGTCCGTGGTTGTCCAAACGATCCTTCTATCATCGAGATCGGTGAGCTACAAGCTGGGTTGTTGAAGCTGCTGTGCGGTCCGATTTTGAAACGCTTCAAGCATTTAGCAACGGCGAATCAGCGCCTGTACTGTGTAGGTCTGTGGGGCCATGAACTTCAGCGCAGCTCTTCCCTCACAGTCGATTTTACTGCCTGCGGGGATGTATATGTAGGTCTAGCCAGAAGCAAAGGTGCTTGAAGCGCTTCGAAATCGGACCGCACAGCAGCTTCAACAATCCAGCTTGTAGCTCACCGATCTCGATGATGGAAGGATTATTTGGAAAATCACGGACCGCTAATCTGTAGTGTATCGCAAGGGCTTCAATCTCAGACACCATGTAACATTGTACACGAGGGGGGGTGCACGGACGGTGAAATTGGGATGGCAGTTTCGTACTGGAGTTAGACTTTGGAAAACTGAGATATGCAGGCGTTTCCTGGAACTTTGAAGAGGAAACCTGCCAAGCCCCCCGCGGCCTTAAGGATTGCCCCCCCGCCCCCCAATGGGGCCGTTGTTTGTGCCGCATGTAACGTGTGGGATCCTTCTGGCGCACACACACGGTTGTTTGTGTCGTTCGCATGCGCATGAAGCCCACGGGGTATCTCATGGGGCGCCCGGCCAACCAGCAACTGTTCCAAAACAGATCATAGTGTCATGAAAGCAACATACAAGTTCCTCAAGATCCAGCGGACTTCGGGGTGATAAAAAAGACCATCAACGACATGAATCAGAATTTGATTTATTGTTATGTTTTAGAAAACTTCGTACTTGCGACTGGTGGTACACTTGAAGTAGGACGGCTCGAAGCCAAGAAGAGTCGCCGTGCAGTGCACCATAGTCGACAGCAGCAGTTAGCAGCAGGCGGTTCCTGATACCGACTCAAACCCATACGCGCAGTCGGTACTGGGCAGCGCCAAGAAACGTTGATGCCCAGCGATATGCATGGAAGAAGAGGAAGCCAAACTATGTGAAACTACTGATGGACAATCATACGTACGTGACATAGCTCTGGATACGTACACACAAAAGATGACACTACGGTCGGGAAGATTCAAAGCGACACATGGCAAAGGTGTACGACATAATAACCCAAACGCGAAGTCGGCATTGGGCAGCGCCAAGAAACGTTCACACCCAGCGATATGCATGGAGAGGAGAGGAAGCACATGTGGAGCTACGCATGGACAATCATACTTGCATAACCCTTGGTCATGTACACGAACACTTATTCAACAGACTCAATGAACACTCTCTAGGAAGTGCCATACCACCTTCTCTACAATTTCGCGGGCTTCCCATCCGCGTCAATGAGCACTCTTCAACTCGACGAGAAAGAAAGACGCCTCTTCACGTCAACTCAATAAGCAGCACCCACTCAATTCCTTCTTCGACTGCTCAGCAGCTGACAACAGCGGACCTTACGTCACTGGGGCCATGCCCCTCCGGCACGGTCCTTCTATCTTGTATGGAGAGCGCCGCAGACGGAGATATAGCATCGACTGATGTAGCGCGCGGCTGCTGGGTAATTGTGCAGGGCATTCCTGATCCTCAACCTGCCATCACTGCTGCCCCCTTCTCACACAGGCAAGGGTACTAGACGCGACGTGTCGCAAAAATTCCCAAGAGGTTCGGAGGCGCCTTCCACTTCTGCTGACCAGAGATCAGCACCACAGATACCCCCCTCTTCCCCCCAGCAGCTTGGTTGGCTCCTACACAAAAAATCCTCGGCTTGCACGACTTATTGTCTACAGGCATCTCGTCCCAGAGGGTCTTGGTACTCAACGCCCTGCTATCGATGCTCCCAAACATTTCCCGCCCTCTCTCTCTGCCGCTGCATACAACCGCAAACAGAAAGCAACGCATCGCCATCTTCATGACGCATGGTCTATTTAGATGCTCCTGCTCCTCACCATCTGTTGCTGCTACCCAGTAGGGCAACTGCTACCCCCCCCCCTTCCCTCTCCAAAGCCGATTTGTCGGCAACTGTAGACTCTCTCCACTGTGGCCTTTAACCATCGCCGCTGCCTGCCGGCGATCCCTCCGTGATTTCACATTGAAATCTGCAGTCAATTCTCACCATGAAATATGATACATACGTGGAATAACTCAGACGACGACACACGCGATTTGGCAGCATGTTCTGCCCGAAAAAATACGTCATGTTGCTCTCTACCGCATAACGCCAACGCCTTTAAATAGTAGAGTGGCATCTGCGCAACATCAGAAAAAATGACAAACACCAAAGGGCTTTCAACACATCGTAGGGGTAGCCAAGTGGTCGATCGGCTGTCGATCCCTCATCACGGAGCTCCTGCACACAAAGTCGACCCTCACGTCGATCCCCTCAGCCCGAACGCATCAAAAGCTGCCCAGGTTTCAGACATGTCCACCATCTCCCCAGAAACCCGCGCCCTGTCCAAGGCGATTGCAACGAGCCCGGCCTCAAGCGCATCGACTATGCCCACGGGCAGCTCTATGGCCTCGCCCCTCAGGAACGCGGCGACGTCTGCCACCATCAGATCATCGGCGCCGTAGTGCGCCGCCTTCTTGGCCTCGTCGAGGTCGTTGTAGTCGTGGTCGGCGATGATGCTACCGTCCCGGAGGGTGGCCTTGAGGTAGCCGCGGACGAAGTCGCCCTCGATCATCCCGCGGGCGCCCATCACGCAGAACCGCCTGTGTTCGTCGGGCACGTTGAGGTTCGTGTGGAAGGCCATCGACGCGCCCGTCTCGTACTGCAGGATGGCCGTCTGGTGGTCGATGATGTCGCTGTCGCTGCGAAAGGCGTCGTCGACGCCGTTCCACACGCTCTCCTTGGTGTGCATGATCCCGTCTTCTTTCGTCTCAGACGCGGGGGCGTACTCCGGCAGGTAGGACTTCTTGCCTCCGAAGCTCGCCACCTTTACCGGTCGCGAGCCGGTCATCTAGAGGAGCGATGCGCCAGCCAGACAACGGTGAGAGACACGAGAAACCGTCTTGAGAAACAAAGATCGAGATTCTGTTATCTCAAACAGTGATATAGATGGCATGATGCCAGCGGCGACACTAGATTGAACATTGCTGTCTACCCAACTTATTCATTTTCTCTCGCAACTGCAAACGTCTGTTACGGGGTTACACATGAGACTCACATGTGCATGGCGCACGCGTTCGTTTTTATCGCGACAAGGTTAAGGCGGTTCTATACTCAAGTGAACCTAAAACAAGCGCTGCAGCACGGTGTACACTGCGGAAGAAACCCTGAAAACACAAACGTTTCAGCTAGGGTTCGACACGCCCAGCTTGCTGACACAGTCCTGATGGTTGAAACGTGTGGTTGAACAACGGAACAAAAAGAGTGAGTTGCCTAATTATGCAGGATAACCGGTCGCCTTTCGTAAATTATTCTTCCCTGCAGCGTTCTGCTTGGATACGCAATGTTCCTTCCAACACGAAACACCCACCATGTTGTAGATGTCAAGGTCGTGACAGCACTTCTCTAGCATGAAACCCCCCGACAGCTTGGACAGCCTCCGCCAGTCGCGCATGAAGAACGCGCCATGGTACGGGCCGATGTGTTCGTTCGCCTCCAGGCTCACGACGGGTCCCAGCTTCCCCAACACGGCACGCAGGTCGGACATGTGCTTCGAGTACCGCAGCACCAGCCCCACCATCACCCGATCCGGGCCGTGCTCCTTGAGCAGCGCCGCCAGCTCCAGCGTCTCCTGCTCGGAGATGACGACGGGCTTCTCCGTGAAGACGCGGACGCCGGCGGCCAGGCCGGCCTTGATGTGTTCCAGGTGGAAGTTGTTGGGAGAGCCGACGAAGAAGAGGTCGGGCTTGGTCTCTCGAAGCATCTCCTCGACGCTGTCGAACGGGGGAACGTCCTCGCCAATCTTGGACAGGAAGGCCGGCTGCGGGTCGTGATAACCCACGAACTCTATCTCCGGCATCTTCTCCTTCATTATCGCCAGGACGTGTCCCGCACGGAGGCCTACGCCAGCTGTCACAACCTTCATTCTGGACGAGTTTGGCCGCTGGCAAGATGGTGGGGGGATGGGAGAGCGAGTGTTATTCATATACCACGAGATGGAGAAACATGCTGTTGGCGGGGCATCGTGGATCGTAGAGGGGGGCCCCCACGAGCAGCACATAATTTTCTCTAGAACCACCCTCCATCTAATTTGGCGGACTTTGGCACACATTGACATGTAACCCCCCCCCCCCCTCCCCTCCAATTCTGGTGTTTCAGCCACTGCTGCTGTTGTGAACGGCTAGGATTAAAGCCCAACACTGCGCAGCCCTTGAAGCAAGCGCTTGGGTGCGGCGTGAGAGTGATGTTTTCAAACTCTCTGCGAAATGCTCAGTTGGATAGGTTGATCGTTCACGAAGCAAGTCTGTCTTGACGAAAACAAGTAGACTCCCGTCACACCTTGCGGGAAAATCGAAACGAAGGGGAGGTGGCAAGCTCGCAGATGGCGGGGAACCCTTTTTCAATTGCGTGGTGACGACTTGATTTACGCTAGTTGGACGCATGTGATTAAGCACTATATCTAGAACTAAACACAAGAAATAACACAATCAAGCAAAGCCCGCGCGCGGTTCGTGCGGCGGGACAAGGGCACCGACAAAGCACGAAAATACACTGAAGGCTCTCTACTATTTTGATATACTTGACGGGGGAGGACTTTTCGCGAAATAGGTAGTTGTCGATGTCTGACAGCGCTGTAGCTCCTAGATGCCGCCGATTCTCTGCATACCATGTCGATGCATCACAAAACACACCGGCACGACCGCACCTACGACCAAGCACGAACATCTTCCCGCGTGGATGAAACGGTAGGACTTGGTGTCTTCGTTCTTTCGTGGTTACGCTGTCGTCGAGAAACGTAACTCGCCGTACGTGTCGGTCTATTTCTTCTACAGCAACTACACTAATATAGCGTTCCCTGTACAATATGAGGCCGCATAGTGCCAGTGGATTGGGTCGGCATTTTACTGGGCACCCGGTGCTATTCAGAGTACGAGACAACTTGAATATGTTCCACTACCTACATAATTCAAGAGATTTCACCGGCCTTACACTACTGTATACAAGGCGACCGACCGGTCTTACTACTGTAGTGCGGCCTTACAATGTATACAGAGACCGCTACTGATGCAGTTGGAAAGTGCAGCGGACGAGTGCTACAACTAATGGAGTGGGACATCTGTCGATCCGAAGAAAACGACTTGAACCCAGAGTTAATGTCAAATCAGATTGGGCACAGCATTGACACGCGCCGATCGTTTTCGCCCTGATCCCAGGCAAGTTGTTGCATCACGCGGAACTGGAGGCAGAATCCTGAGCCGATAAACAACAGGATACAAACGATTCGTCGAGAAGATCATAAAAGAGTGCCTTGTTCTTTAAGGAATAATAAAAACACACACAGAAACACTACCCATTCGAGATATACCCACAGTCGAACGGGATGTGGTGGAGTCTTTTCAGTGAGTGGAGGGAAACCGGCTGAGTACTGGACTTATTTCGAGTCTTTTTAAGTCTACACTGACTGATGATTTATACCAGTGATGCCAGCTGGTGCTAAGTACAAAAACATCTGTATAGGTAACTTACATTTTACAATACATTCCCTGTAGTTCTCTACTGGGTCAACGACAAAATATCGGGGAGAATCCCTCCGTTGTGTCGTGTATTGTAAAATGTAACCTTCACAGGGGACACGGCGCAGTGTCTATTGACAGCTTGCTGGTTTATTAGACATATTAGGAATAATATTGTAAAAATCGTGAAAGGTGGAACGAAGTCTACAGCAGTACATCACCAGCCCTACATCACTCGTTTTTCAAATCTACAGATTTTTGAATTTCACGGACAGCAGGTGTTTCCCGCCGTTTTTTTAAATTTACAAATTGTTTTTGATCCTTTGGGGTAACGTATCAGTGATGTTTATACAGCAGTAGATGAGAATGGTATACCTGGTGCATGGTAGGTAGGGCATACCATTCAGGTTGTATCATGTTAGCTTGTTTCTTGTTATGTTGGGTGTTGGTAAACACCATCAGTAGAGCATGGAAAGTTGTCAAATGATTTACATCCAATGTGGTGGTTGTTGTCAACTTCCCTGGTGTTCCTCAAAGCGGTTTGTCGAGATATCTTGTCGCAACCATGTCGTAATCACGTCGTAGAGCATCCGTCATGAAGGTCAGCAGCAGCAGCGAGCTTGTTCTATGCCACATCAGTAAGTAAAGCAGCAGTGCTGAAATGGGTAAATCAAGGCGAAATACTACAGCTATGTACATAGCTCCCTCCTGTCACTATTCGTCAGAGTCAAGTTCGCTTCATACAAAAGAACAAAGAGCGTCTTTCTGTGAGGTTATGTTTACGTTCTAAAGAGCGCGTGCCAGCCAGCACGCCGATGTGACTGAGGTGCTTGTTTCTGGCAAAAAATAAATAAATAAAGGCTAACATATTGTCCGCCGGAGGGCGGAGGAACAATAAAAGTATGAAATCTAGCCAAGGGTGAGAAAGAACAGAATCGTCTGCAAGCAGGTAGCCTTCTACTCCCCGAGAGAGCGGCATACACAACAACACTACCATCGAACAGCGACCACAAGCCACCGAGAGGCTACCAAAGACAGGCCCAAGCAAGGCTTCCGAGGCTAAACGCGGCATGACACGTACAACAGAATGTTGAGCAGAGCAAGCGTTCGTTCGGAACTGGCACACGCCCGACGCACACACGTTTGCTTGCGATACATGTCAGAATCCACAATAAATCGATCCTCCTTCCTCCGTCGCGTGGTGATTATTGGATAGCTCGCTGAAGCGCGCTTAACCATGCTCAAGTTGCTGAGCCCGGTGCAGGTGACATTTACTCGTGGGGAGTAATTCCTTAAGCTCTCGCGAACGCCGATGTTGCTTGCCTGTGTATCCGGCAACACATTCTCAACCCACACACAGCTTGTTGGTTCAGTTCATACAGCTGATGGTGTGCTTTCAAACTAATCGAGCTGCGTCATTATCCCGACCCCGCCCTCCCCTTTCTAAGGTGTGCTCGGTTACGCTCCAACCAAACGCGATTGATTTTGTTTGCCTGCCCAATCTTCTGCTGACCTTTGACGGTGTGTCGGAGATCTGATGTTCGACCTGCCCGAAAAACCACTCCGTCCGGCGCTACTCCGCTTCCTCCCCCTCTCCGCGCCTGTGTATGTCCTCACGCGGAAAGGCGGCACCGGATGCGGAGTTTCTGGCACAGCAGTGATGTGTGGTTGGAGTACTCCCTCGGGGAGAGGCGTTCACCTCAAACTAAGTCTCACCGGTGTGTGACTGGGTGCGTGTGGGGTGTGGGACGTGGGAGGCTCGAGCAAGGAGCGCGCAGCTTTTTTTTGGCGGCGCGGGACTGTCAGGTGCGGGGGAACCTGCCGGGGTGCCGGGTGCCGATCTGCTGTCTGGTGGTGCTTGGGTGTGCACAGGAGACAGGAGACCAGTAGTGTAGACTTCAACATCAGCTGGTGGTGAGATGCGCATGAATGCACAGATGTGCCAACTTGTCTTGATTGAGCACTGCTCTTCTTCCCCATAGGGGAGACATCACTGCTGTATGTGTTGCTCGAGGAAGAATATAAATGTGCTGCTGGCTGCTGGCTGTACAGCATGCTGGCCGTTGTTCAATGAACCGACCATCATTTCAATGAATGCACTGCGTGTAGTTTGTCCTGGATCCTGAACTCTATATCTTTCGATAGGCTCCGAGGTGTGCACTCCAGTTAGTGTAAAATAACACTCCCGTGGCCTTCGTCTTGTGTGACCGCGGCTGTCCGAATTTGTACCGAAATGTGTCAGGATGTCAGGATTGACGTTTGGATGTTTGGATGACAAAAAAATGTGTGTCCATCAGTCAGTATCGTCCGGGGTTCTTCTGTTGTCTACAATATAAATCAATCCAAAACTCGCGCAGAGATGGCCAGATTCTCAGATATCATCGCAAGCTCGAGGTTGGGTGGTCTTTATTTTGTGTTTTCGACTCCCGGATAAATGTGTGCGCGTGCGTACAGGAGTTGTAAACTACAGCAGCAGTACATACATGTAACAACACCGCCGTATATCTATCTGCCGACCACGACATATTTTCCGCGATATCTTTGGCACAGGCAGGCTTGTTCGTGACTTGCGTCGGTCAGCGTAGTATGTCCTCAACAGACTAATATTTGGTAAATCGACACGGCGGAGGGCCAAATATTACAAATGCTCCTCTCTCTCTTCGGCCGCCATATTTCAACATGAACAACACGTCGTCGAGCCCACAGACAACCATTATCAGATCATCACGGTTGGTTGTGACGCACTCACACGTTGCCACTCTCACGGATTCTTGTAGGGGGTGTCTTGCGCGTGGAAGAGGAATGGTCCATGCTACACCTGGAATGTACTTCATTGGCCTATCCATGGGCGAGTGAGAGACATGTGCGAGGCAAGAAGAGCCTCGCGTCGTGCACGTTACTCCCAAACAGCCCCTAGTGTTATGGTATTTGGAGGTAGACATGTGATCGTGGTTGATCATGGTTATTTGGCGCCGTCGGATGCTAAGACGTGACGTCATGCTAGATCAGGGCTTTATGCCGAGACATGTGCCCTTCTGTTCAGTGTGTGCGTACAGGTGATCTATGATCGCGTGTGCGTGGGATATTGTGAGTTGGCTTGGAAAGCGTTAATCAAGAGAAAGAGAACAACGGAAAGCAACAACAACCTGCTACTGTGGTCGGACAAGAGAGTTCCACACAGCTCTAAGGTGATTGATTCTGAAGGAAGGGGTCAAATACCATTACACTGGCGTTGTTGGTTTTGGTCGTGTTGCTTGATTCTTGCGTTCAATTGATTTTGATTTTTTCGCTTTTTTGCAGTCTGCTGCATAGCGGCAGGGTAACAGACTTGTGGCCCTGCTTCAGCATGTCGGCTCCTGATGAGCCGCGAGGTAGCAGCGACTCTGC